AAGGAGGCGTGAGAAAGGCGCATCCCACTCGGGCTCTACCCGCGGCTCCGGGAGAGCAGGCACGTCCCTGTCCTAGCGAGTCACACGCACGCTCGGTGACATCTTTGGATTTCCACCATGCCCACCACTTCACTACTTTGCTCCCCTAAGCAAGGACAAACCTTGCCGGAATTCTTTCAGTCTGATCCCCCACTGAGGTAGCCCTTGACAAGCACGCCGGGCGGAGGCCGTGGAGGGCAGGGCCCAGGCCGAGTCCGCAGGCGGCACTCCGCACACGCCTGCCCCGCCCCGCAAGTCTTCGGAGAAGACGGACTCGGGACACGCCCCACAGAAACGCATGTCCTTGTAACTTCGAACAAGGAAACCCAGAACCGAGCGCCCAGGAGGAAGCAGGGCAGAGGCGGGTGCAGGGCTGGCAGTGTTGCAGGGAGAGCTCTGGGAAATGCGGAAGGCTCTGCTCTCAGGAGCTCCTGACGGGCTGCGCGGGGCTTCCCGCAGGCGGCTCCTCCTTTGTGCCCGGGAGCCCGACGAGCCCTCCAGGCCTGCGCAGCCCCGGGGCTCGCAGGAAGGCCTCCGGGACAGGGCAGTCCTCCGTCTGCGGGCGGAGGCGGCACGGGGCACGGGCATTCAGCGGACGGGCAGGCTGGATGGATGAAATGCGGCGGCGCCAAGCGCCCCGAAGCAGGGCCGGGCTCTCGAAGGTGCCCCCAGGGAGGGCCAGTGGATACCGTCCCCCAACTCCAGGATTTTCAGAGAGACAAGATTTCAAAGTCTTCATCTTCTGAATCAAAGAATCTTTCCAGTCGCTCTGCGTCAGAAGAATCTAGAAGAAACAAGACACCACCTCACCAGACGCCCGGTGTGGGGTGTCCGGCTGTGGGGACCGCCCCCCACACCCTGCATCTGGCCCTCGGGACAGCAAGAGGCGGGACACCAGGACCAGCCCGCTGGGGCATCGGCCTCCCGGGCTGTGGGTCTCAGCAGGCCGGGAGCTTCAACTGGCGAGGGGAGGGCAGGGAGGAGAATCCCACAGGTGGGTCTGAATAGAGAACACGCTTCTCGGAGGAGCCCAGAGGGAAGGGGCAGGGGCTGGGAGGGCAGGGCTTCCCGTCCCAAGAGGGGGTGGCACCCCCTGTACCGTCTGGGGACTGAGGGGACGTCTGTCCCGAGTCTCCAATGCGGCACCCTGACTCCCTTCTGGTTTCTGTCAGACAGTGGCTCAGTCACCATCCTCCATGATCTTCTCGGAGGGACAGGGACACGGGCCTCATCATCGTCCCAGAGACAGAGGGATGCATGAACTGCATGTGCTCACGCCTTCCTGCTGAGTCCCGGTTCTCTGTGTGCCACACGTTGACTCACTTCAGGGAAACTGAGGGCCTGAGTGAAGGAGGAGGCCCTGGGCCTAGAGCCACTGAGCAGCAGGACACGGAGCCCACCTGTGGCCTGCCATCCCAGCGCTGGCTCCCGTGCCGGACCTCGCAGAGACCCTGGGCTGTTGTGGAGAGCCTAGCACGTCCTGGCGGCCACGGGAGGAGCACGCTCGGCTCCGTGCTCGGGGGCCAGGTTATGGCGCACGAGGCGAAGGACAAGGCAGCAGACTGTGGCGCTGCCCACTCGGGGCCCCGCACAGGCTGTCCGGCAGCACCGCGGTCCCACACACACACCACCAAGGGGTCACCGCCTGGGCTCACACAAACCTTTTTTTTTTTT